TGAAAGAAAAAAAGGTTGGATCTTTGGAAGGTTAGAGCAGCAAGGCTCTTTCCTTAAGCATCCATGGTCCTTTTCTTTGAAGAGCTTGGTTGTGGAGAGACAAGAAACATCTCGGGTTGAAGAACAAACCTGAAGCTCTTGGTAAATGGTGTAGAAGAAAGGAAGTAGTCATAAGACTTTCTTGGTGGAGCATCATTGTGTTTCTCAAATTTTGAGGAAGGTTGTGGAGACAAGACTGTCTCAAGTTATCTCTTGGTGTATAGCACGCGTGAAAGGAAGGAGTTGTAAGACTTATTCGGGTTAATATTGAAGCATCTCACTCAAGAACAACAAGACTGAAGAAAACAGAAGGTTTTGAAGCAGTCTCAGTCTCTGAAGCAGTTTTCTGAGACAGGTGCAGATAGTTTGGTAAGATCTTGTTTTGTTACATGAAAGAGCTAGCTAGATCTTAGGTGGAGTAACACAGGGTTCTTGAGATGCTTAAGTAGTTGAACACGTGTTTAGCTCAGGTTATGGTGTGTAACTGAGTGTGTAAGAGAGATGTGAATAAGCTGTATCAAGGATTCATGGTAGAAGTCTGAATCAAGTGAGGTGATTTCAAGTTTATGAAATCAGGTTGCCTCTAAAATATAAGAATCTGCAACACAGTGAGAAGGATTTCAGATTACTCACAAGTTGAAATGTTGCAAGCAAAAGTTTGAAAAGTTCAGAGATGAAGCAAGAAGCATTTGATCGAAGATGGTGTTCTTTATCAGTGCTGAAGAAGCCKRTTATTTGTTGGTGTTAKCTGMAGGTTACAAKTATCARCTGGGTTTGATTCTGAAAAGAATGAGTACAAGTTTTGTGACTCAAGGTTCTGTATCAGAATTGAAACATCAACTTCAAGACTCAAGTTTGGGAGACTTAAAGTCTGATTCCACTGCAGTCACAAGGTGTTTGTGATGCTCTGTATTGAAGTTTCAGGTTTTGCTCAAGTTCTTCAGATTTATTGGAAATGGAAGGGTGTTGGAACACAAGGGTTATGTACTGGTTTTACAAGGGTTTGGCCAAGCTTCAGTGATGGTTTTTCAGGGTATCTTCAGGTTGAATCAGTTTGGCAAATTCAGTTGCACATGGTGTTCTAGTTATCTTATTTCCAGCCGGGTAACTCATAAGATTCATGGAACTAGGGGACGCCTTAGAACCTTGAATTTTATGGGTGTTTTATGGCTATATGAGTATCAGTAAGGGTGCTCTTGGGTCAGTTTAAAGGGTGTTGCAGAAAGGTTATGAAGCAAGGAAATTTCAGTGGGTTTTCTAGTTGAGTGTTGAAAAGGGTTTCTTGTTGCAGGTTTGTCTCTGTGTGTGTGTAACTGTCAGTTCTGGTTGTTATGAGAGTCTACACTTGGTGGATTATCAGTGAACGTGAAGCTACAAGGCTGTTTGTTTCGGAGGTAATGTAGTGAAAATTGCTGAATCTGTTGTGCTATGAAGCAGTATCTGAAGCAGTCTGGTACAGAAAAGCCTCTATAGATACAGAAGCACACACTTATGGTGTGAGCTTTGGAATAAGCTGGGAAGTGTTTGACTTCAGGATTCAAGAGTGTAAGCTCTTGATAAGGTGGCAGTAGCAAAGATTCAGGTTTTGTGCAGATTTGTGTTTGGTGTAACACATGGTAATTCTGTTGGAATGAATCTGACTGAACAAAGAGTTCTTGTCTCAGGTGGAGCTACAATTCTCAGAATAAGTCTTGTATTGTATCAGATCTTCATGCTATGAAGGGAAATCTGGTGGTATAAAGACGTTGGAGACATCAAGTTTATGAAGGTCTCTTAATGTTCTTAGGCAATGGGATATATTATGTTTTGTGTCAAAAGTCTTCCTAACTAAGAGAGTTAGTCGGCGTGTCCTGTTTTTCTAACAGCGGTTCAAGACAAGTGTATAATGGTTTTTTGCTGCAGGATGGTACAAGATTTTGTGATCTGGGATTGAGGCATGTTTGAGACAACGCTGCTGGAAAAAGAGAAAGGTTCTTGGCTGTTATTTGGTACATATGAATCAGTTGGAGTGGCTACAAGAAGAAAGAAGCATGTGTCTCACATTTTGGCACATTTTCTCACGCAATAAGCCATGGTGGCTCATTTTGATTCATAAGAACAAATGAATGAATTTATGATACATTGAAGAGTGTTTTAACTCAGTTTGGTGGAGTTGAGCTTAAAGAGATAGAGGTTCAAGTGGCTATGGTTCCAGGTGTAGTGTTGCTGCTACAGGTGCAGTATTGGTGCTATAGGTGGAGTATTGTTGCTACAAGAAGAGCAATGGATATTCAAAAAGAGATTTTTTTTTCGGTGGAGCTATATATATTTGGAGGTTTCTCTGGTATTCAGATCTTACAAGCGATGTGAGTATGATTGGCTCAACATGAATGAGTTAAAAAAAGGCTGCAGTAGTCATTGTTGTATCTGTTTCATGGAAGTTCAGTGTGCTAAGAAGATACAAGTCAAGAACAGATTGTTTATCAACGGGGAGAAATTGCAGGTTTTGAGGAACAGATTGCAAGTTCTCATTACAAAGTTGCAGGTTTCTGKGAAAGTTTCAGAGAAAAKACACCAAGTTTAGGCYGAGATGAAGTTGTTRAAGTGRTTCAGTRGATTACMTGAARAAGCAGGAACKGCTTCAKGAATACTCACTTCAAGAAAGTGAAATTGTTGTGTATCTAGCTTGATAAACAACTTATCTCATGGCTGGTGTCTGCAACTTTGGAGGTCCTATAAAGGATGCAAATGCAAGGAAATCAACTGCATTTGGAAGAAGAACAACTATGGAGGTTCAAGTTGTTTGTTTGCATCATAAGAAGATATGTATGTATCATCTTCAAGTATCATGCGATGATAATGAAGAAGAAGGCTCTGGTTTRRGTMTGAAATTTGATAATGATGTGGGTACCAAGTTTTTTGGTGSAGTTGCACACAAGTGAAAGTSWTGCAGGCTGTTTCTACAAYAGGAAGTGCATCAAGAAGTACTTCAGGAATCTGGAGTTGATGCATTAGTTGCCAAATGGAATTGTTTCAGGTGTATCACTGGTTATTTGGTTATGAAATGATGTTTAAGGTTGCTGGTAGTGGTTAAAATCTGCTGGTGGGTGTTCTGTTTTAACAAGACAGTTGAACAAGGGTTTTGTTCAGGATGGTTTGTTGAGACAGGTTGCTGTAATGGTAAATCTCAGGTTCTACAGTGGATTGGCTGTTGGTGAGATTGGTTACAGGTTGAATCAAAGAGCTTCAGGTTAGAGGCTAATATGATTCGGGTTTTCTGCATATGATTCAAGTATATTCGAAGGATTTTGATTTCAGTGCACATGAGAAAATCCAAGGGGCTAGCAAGAGAATCAAGGTTTGCAGAGTTATTGTTCAGTCACTGCAATAGTTTTATGGTTAAGACAGAAGCCACAAAAGATACTATGTGATTGGAGAAGTTCATAAGTGGTGGAGCTTATGAAGATTTCTGTCGAGTTAACATGTAGGTGATGTTTCTTAACATGTTAATGGAGTTTGCTGAGCAGTTGTATCAGGTTTGATACTACGATGACATCAAGATGGTTGGGAGTTGAGTTTTTTTTATCACAAGTGTGTGTTTTGAAGCTGGTTACAACTCAAGAGGCCATGAAATAGGATGTTGGAGAT